TTTAAATCACCAACATTGCACTAAACAACTGCTACAATATGAGAGAGTTCTGATCATATTTACATGCTAGCTCAGGTAGTGTAGTAGTAGTAGAGTATGGCCATTCTGAATTATGCTTTGCAAGTAGTCTTCTATCACAAAAGATGGTAAAAGATAATCTCTCCTTTTAACTGAGAGAGTCCTCAGGGCACTCAAACCTGCAGCAATCAAGCTCAAGCCACAGTAAAAAGCAGAGCACAGCAGGCTTCCTAGGTAGCTCATGCAGTTGTTCTTAAGCAGCATCTTAGAGGACTATTTCATGAAGGGTGTTTTAGGAGAGAAGATGTAGTAGCTAGATGCTGAGGACCAAATCATACATTACTAATACTTATGAATACTTACAGTGTAGTTATTTGGCAGCAGAGAAAAACATTAGAAAACAGAATATTTATTCCCTCCACTATTCCTTGTGCTACATTTTCTGTTAAGCTTACTTCATTTTATTATTCTTGTTAGCAAAAATGAATATCCAGTACTAAAGCATTTAGGAAACACAACACTGCCTGCACTTCAGGCCATTAAATCTTTGTAAATCAGCCCTGGAATATCAACCTTTCCAATACATCATTATCTTTGTGCATGGTGAGTTGCTCTAATTACAAACTGCCTAGATGAGATCCCACCCATGCATTGTAAAATCACCACAAAGCATAATTGGATGAGTCTTAACCATTCTTGGCAGTAGTCAATCTCTTCTACCCCAGTGGCTTGTGAAGGTATTAAAGGAAAGGACAACTTCAATGTGTATAAAACAAGGTATTGGCTACTTATTTTTACAGAGAAGAGAAATCTTTCTGTGGATAGGGAGGAGTAGGGAATCTCCAGCAATAAAAAATGTCAAAAAAAAGAAAATATATGAACCCAATTAATGACTCAAAAATGGCTTTTGTTTCAACAGCTTTACGTAGTTGCCTGCTGGCAGCCAAACACCACACTAACACACTTTTAAATTAATTTTTTTTCTTGTATTTAAACTAATTTTTAAATCTGTCTTCAGTTCATACCTACCTAAAGTGAGACAGAGTGCCTCCTCTCCTGAATTAGACTCATGGCCTTTTCTTCACTTCCTTTCAAGTGTATTAATGCAAACAGAGGACATGGCTCTCTGCACAATTACTGCAAAGGGCAACCCCTCATTGGATTTTAATTCTCAGATAAATGTACACAACCTGCTGCATTGGTTGCCAGCATGTCTCAAGGACAGCCTTGAATCTATCCAAGGTATCTCCAAGATGAAGTTCATCTCCCATGCCAGGCAGCTGGTTCCCAAACTTAGCAGCTCTTTGGAAACCCATAAATGGACATCCCTATCCTTGGATACTTGGCTCAAACAGTTTATTAAGGACTGTTTGCAGGGAAAGATCTGGATTGAGAGTCAGTGTCTGATATTACCTGCATGCTGCCTGTTGTTGGTGTATGTTCTGACATTTTCCAGAGCAACAGTGCTCAGCAGCATGTGAGATGGACTGTTAGGAATCCAGATATAGTAGACAAATATTTTTTTAAAGTGTTTATTACTTTTGCAAATTTCTTGTTTACCTGTTCCTGCTGTGAAAACAAAAATCAATATAACATGGAGATGTTCAGATCTTTAAAGAGTCATAAAATGGGCATTGAAAAATCGCTGGCACAAAGAGGAAGGCAAAGAAGAGACCTCACTTTGTGTAAGACTAGTGTCAGGAAAAATTAAAATCCTTTCAGAGCATATGGCTTTCAGATCTCTCATGCACATAAGTGTCAGACTGTCAGGTAGTTTTGCTTAGAGAATGTTGGCACCATTCTATTAAATAGTTCCTGTTGGTTTCCTAAGAAACTTTCTAGTTAAACATTTCTCATCAAAAATCAAGCTTCATTCATCTCTTCATTCATCTCACTTTTATTAGGTACTAACCTAGCTGCTCAGGCAAGTGTGTAGGAAGGTTTGATCTCTTCTTTTTTGAGTTGGAAAACTTCCACGGCAATGTACCTATGCCTTTGGAAAATATCACTATCCATTATCCATTCCCATTCTTAGATAGAGAAAGTTATAACCAGCATTTACTGCAAGGACTAGCTGTATGGTGTTGTATTCACTATGGAATATGTGTCTCAAAGAGAAGGGTAAATGGAAAGGGGAAGCAACTAATAGTATTTTACATATTTAGATAATTTTTTGGTCCTCAAAACTTCCTGCGCCATTGTTTTCCCCTAGGTATTTTTTAAAATTATTATTTCTGTTTGTTTGGAGTTTTTTTCCCTAATAAATTCTTTTTTTTTTTTTTGCCTCATCTCACTAGAATGGAGCCCCTTTCAAGTGACTTCTTCTGTGCCTGTATTGTTCCTCTAGGGTGTTAACTGAGATTTCTCTGAATAGTTCTGTCCATCCTTCTCTGAAGTCTTTAATCCCATGAAAAATCTTTTAGTAGGGATTCCTACAGCTGCACTTACAGTTTCTGCAACTAAAATGCAATCCTCCTCCGGTACTCTCTTGGGTTATCCCCTGAGGTTGATCCTAGGTCCGAGATAGACTGTTTGAAATGGAATAAAACCACAACCATGCACATGTGTTTTTCCCTCCTGTCCTGGTGGAACTAGGGCATCTCCCACTAGTTCAGGATTGTAGGCTGAATTCAGAGGGCTGAAGTTTCCTCTGAAGTATGGGATTTCATTTTAGTGGCTTTAGTTTGAAATTCAAATGGTTTAGGTTTCTTTGCATTGAAATACGTTCTGAAATAGACTACTAAATTCAGATGACATACCACAGGAAGTCATCATGTAGTGCCCTCTTTTGAGTTTTCCCTGCATTGGGGAACACCAGTACAGTCATATATTACTGGAGACTGTTTTCTAAATTTTCAGTTCCCCAGAGCTGCACTGATGAATTTACAACCTTTAGTTACTTTAGCATTGTTATCGTTTTATTCCTACTTCTGCTGAGCCTTGTATTGTAGGGTTGGTTTCTGTGTGTCCCATACTTTCCATTTCACCTTTTAAGGTAAAAACATTTAATTTATTTAAAGTCTGTATTTTGCAGTTACACTTGTAACAATGGCACTTTACCATTCACTGTGATGCTGAAATTCCCATTAGGCTCATAATCGTATCCTGGTTTACTAGTAGTATTGCCTTCTGCTGTTACACACTAACTAAGCTCCTGAATTATTTCCATCCTAGAGCAGAAGGGATAAATCTCCAGATACATGTGCTTCATTTGTTTTAAAGAATATAGTATTAGGCAGAAATTAAACAAAAACAAACAAAAAAAACCCAAAACAAACAAAAACCCAAACCAAACAACAACAACAACATCAACAACAACAAAAACGGAAAATCTGACCATGTCAAATCAAATGAATTCAAGTAGCCTTTTGCATCTCTAAAAACACCAACGTGCCCTCTCTCACAGATGTACAAGAACTGCATGCACTCTTCTTTTATTTGTTTTCACCAGTAAAAAATAATTTTAGGCAATTCAGTGCAAGGAAAGACCTTCCTGTCAGTGACTTGAAGCAGTACAGAAAAGCCTGATCCCCTGGGCTTATTTTTGTAGTGGGAAATTATTACACTGTAAGATAGGCTAACTTGCCTTGGAACTGCTTGTTTTTTCATAGGCTTTATTTTAAAAACTGGAACTTGAATTGTTTTCCATTCATCATCATCATTTCTTACATTATTCCTCTGAATTTTTAACAGCCTTATTTGAATCAGCCTATGAGCTGTCACATCCCCCCAAATCCACACATATGATCTGCCAGTCCACAAATCAACTTTCCAGTGAACGTTTAATTCGTTTATAGCATAAAAGCCTTTTTATGTAGATTTCAAAAAAAGTTAGACTTATGAAAGCAGTCAAGCAGTCTCTGCATGTCTGTCCATCTAACCATTTAGCTATCTGGGATTTGCAACAGGATGTTTTAAAACCTGTTGACTGGCATCCTCCTTCTCTGGATGTGTAATGAAAATAAGCAGCTGTGTAAGTGTCCCAATAGAGCAGGCTTGCCCACTGATGGGAGAAAAAAATCTGCAAGCTTTTGTAGACATATGAGAATCCACTTGGGAATGAGCAAGCAATAATACCCAAACTGCAAGAAACTCTTCAGTCAGCTTGCATGATACAAGAATTTGATGGCAAAACACAGATGCAAGCTTTGCTGTTCCTGTGGTTTGTGGATTGCACAGTGGCTGGAGACATTGAAAGAGTTGTTTGGGAGGAAAGTCTCTTCTTTTGACATTCTTTGTGGAGTCACTAGTTGATGTTTACTTAGGTGGTGTCATTAATGTTGATGTTTAAATAAACCAAGTGGAATAGACTCTAAAGGCACCTATTTTTCCTTATCAGCTGTGAAAGCAGCTGGCACAGATACAGGCATCTGCATTGCAGACATCTGTATGCACATATAGTCCAATGCATCCCCCTTCTATCATCTATATGTAGGACATTTTTGGAGGGAGGATTTTGTCTGTCACTACATCATGCTCAAATCCAATGTCAGCTGTTTAGGGGCCCTAGGTTCATCCCCTCCCACCACTGGGGAACAAGGGCTGCTCCAAATCACAGTGGTGGGAGTAGATCCAGCACCTGTTACTATGATTGTGCCAGCACACTCCAGAGAAGTCACGCACCTCAAACAGTGCTGTCATGGGGGAAAATGTGTTCAGTAGAGAAAAGCACCTGGCCACCCCTACTAGGACTATCTGCCTCCCTGTGTGAATCATTTTTGATTTCTTAAAACGTGTGACTCCAGCTATTTATTTTTGTAGGAAGACCTACTGTGTGCTGACAGGTAAGCTTCAGAAGTGTGTATGTCAGTAATTTAGCCCAGCTAGTTCCTGAATTAGGTGTGTTGATCAAGTGCTTCAGAAGAGACTTTTTAGTACCATATGTGGCTTGGCTGTGAGCACAACCCACCTTGCTGCTGTTGCAACATGAATGGGCTGGGCTGTCACTGCACTCTAAGCTCTGCTCCTTTCCATGATTGCAGGATTTCACACTCCAGCCTCCGGGGATGCCAAGGGAAGCAGTGCGGAGCAGAAGCGCTCCTGTGGGCCTCAGTAAACGTGAGATGGCTGTCTCAAGCAGCAGGCACTGGCAGGGCAAGGCTGACCCTTTCAGTGTGGTAGCTGCTTCCTTGGTGAGCCAACTGCCTGACCAGCAGAAGACAAGCGAGTCACCTCTCAGCTGGTTCAGAGGAGTGTATTTACCCCCTGCACTGCACCCACTGAACAAGACGTTAGTCAAGGGTAACAAGTGGAAGGATGCAGATAGCACCCAGGAAAAGCGCAGGTCATTCCTGCATGACTTCTGTAAGAAGTACAACAGCAGAAAGAAGCTGCAAACCCACCTGGTGCACCTGGTGTCGAGAATTTACGTGGAGGACAGGCACAAAGTCCTGTACTGTGAAGTGCCGAAAGCAGGATGTTCCAACTGGAAAAGAGTCCTCATGGTGCTCAATGGACTCGCCACTTCACCACACAACATTTCCCATGATGATGTCCACTATGGAAAGCACCTAAGGAAACTGGACAGTTATGACCTAAAAGGGATATACACACGCTTGAACATGTACACCAAGTTTATATTTGTACGTGATCCTATGGAAAGACTGGTATCTGCCTTCAGGGATAAGTTTGAACATCCAAACAGCTACTACCACCCAGTGTTTGGGAGGGCAATCATTAAGAAGTATAGACATAATGCAGATGAAGAGGCTCTGAAAACAGGTTCGGGAGTTAAGTTCAAGGAGTTCATCCAGTATTTGTTAGATCCCCATCGACCAGTAGGAATGGACATTCATTGGGAGCAAGTCAGTAAGCTCTGCTACCCCTGCCTCATCAACTATGATTTTATAGGAAAGTTTGAAACCCTGGAAGAAGATGCCAATTACTTTTTGCAGCTGGTAGGTGCTCCCACCAATCTGAAGTTCCCTAAATTCAAAGACAGACATTCCTCTGATGAGAGAACAAGTGCAGAAGTAGTGAGGCAATACTTAAAGGAATTGTCTAAGGAGGAGAGACAGCTGACCTACGACTTCTATTACCTGGATTACTTAATGTTCAATTATACATCACCAATTGTATAGCACTACAGTAGCTTCAGGTTTCTATTAGATATTTATCATTTTGGGATTCAAAACAACTACTTTGATATTAGCCCTGAAAGGAAACAAAGTTACTGCTAAGTGGAGTTTTCTTGACTTAGTGGGGATTTTATAAGCTAGAGTGATATTAGTTGGCATTAAATTATAGGAGAATGCACAGAAAAGAAGACCTGTTAACAGCATAAATTGCACTAAAATGCCTAAAAAAGCTGCTTTTATGATTGTGGATTATACTATGGGAGCGGTGGCTCAGCCAGCTGTCGCATTATCTTACCTAATGTTCTTTTAATGTTTTAAGAAGAAAACATTCAGAGTAGCATAATTCTTTTTTGGTGCGTCCCCTTTAGAAATTGTTTTTGAAACAACTTTTGAATGTATTTTTACTTTCTGTCAGTTATTAATAAAGAAGGATTGGCTAATTTTCTAAAATGTTTGCAGCATCCTCAGTTGCAAGGCTTGGTTGTTTGATTATCGTTAAACTGTAGCCATTTTTAGACCTGATTTTTTTTTTATTGAAGGATGCGCTTGAATACAAATGCATCAAGCTTCAAATAACACAACAGCTCAGCTGAAAAGCAGAATAAATTTGGGTAAGCCTGTGAAGTGCCAGTCCACTACTCCATTTTGATTCATGCACTGGAGTTGACAAATATGAGAGATAGTGAATATTTTCTCTCCTTTCAGAGGGCAGCTGCATTCATTAAAATTAAGATTTTAACTTACATCATTACATAAGATGTATGGATACTGCGGTCCCAATACTCAATGTAGTCTTCATTTTTGGTGATAGAGCAAAGTTTTAGTGTGGCAGCTATGGGACACTCTAAGGTCTGTACTGAGAAGAAACTTCAGTGCAAATGCTGTGACCATTCTTGGTCTGCCAGGGTCCAATCATCAGCCCTCCTCCCAGCAATTTGTAACACACAAGGTGTGTATGCCCATTGCCTCCCAAGCCCATAAACTAGTTCTTCCTTCAGAGCTTCCTGAAGGCAGTTGTGTTTTGCTGTCCTGCCTCCCTTGTCAGAAGCCAGCAAAACCCAGGAGTGGGGTGGATGCTTCAGTTACATGTGGTGGAATGTGTATTGGTGATTTGTCCTAGAGGCAGGTTTGTCCACAGTCTCACACACTTACCAGAGTCCTGGTTATAAAAGGAAAAGGTACCTTCTATACTCCCCTTTCCTCTCCTTCCTTTAAGTGCTGCCTAACCAATGCATGCAGTTGTTCCTGACACATGCATTGCAGGATGGGTTGCCAGGGAGTCCCAGGAGGAGGAGAAATCTCTGAAAAATCATAGGATCATGAAATCATTGAAAAAGACTTCTAAGATCATCAACCATTAACCTAACACTACTAAGTCTACCACTGGACCGTGTGCCTAAAATGGGTAGGAAAAATCTCTATGCCCTTCTGCAATAAAGATGTCACCTGTTCTTTGCTTTCTGGTGTGGTTTGGGTCATCAAAGCCTCCTGTGTCTTGATATAGCAGGTTGTAGAATACGGAAACAGCCTGATGGGAAAGTGATGCAAGTAAAATGTCCTCTGTTCCCAACAACTGGTCACAACTAGTGCAATTATTGCAGTCTTTTCCTTTATCTCTGGCAAGTGTACAGCTTCAGTCCTTCCACAGGAGTAATTGTGGGTCCCTGCTGAAAGGGCAGACCATTTCCTATGTACCCTTGCTGCTTGTTTCTCCTTCAATTTTCTCCTCCTCCTCAGAAGAAAGCCACCTCCAGTCTCTTTGGTGCCATTGTGTAATTGAGCAGGCTCTGCATGTCTCTCCTTGTGGCAGGACAAGCCACTCCAAGGGATAAAGTTGAAGGTGATGCTATTTGTGACTAGCAGCACCCATAGCTGAAACCAGCCCGTTCCCTGGGACTATAGAGCAAAGAGGAGAAGGAAAAATCCTTCATCACCATGAGGTGTTGCAGTGTGGTATGTGTCATCACCATGAAGGAGATGCAGATGTTCAGTACCAATAAGTTGCAAGGATGCCTTGGACAGGTAAATACACACTCTGTTGCTTGTGTGAGCTCTTGCTGTGCCTGGATGGACCTACAGGTGTTAACAGCAGAAGTGTCTGGGAGTGGATATCTGACAATTGGACTGCCCCAATTCATGCTTTCCCTCAGTAGTATGCATCCCTAAATCTCCCCCTTTAAAAACAAGATTGTGTTTGACTCCAGCCTCTCCTGGCAAGAATGCCCTCACATTTTTCTGTTCCAGCCACACCATGGGGGCACCATGCTGGAGAGGTGGTTCCTTACAGCTGATGTCGTGCTGGACACCAGTACACTGCCACTCCAGTGTTGTGCACCGTGCTGGTTAATGGCTCCTAATAAGTTCCCACGTGTCTTTACCCAGCAGGATTTATTTTATATTTAACTTAGCCATGCACTTTCATGACTGCTGCTCTCAAGTGAGACTATGCATTAAGGACATTAAAGAGAACCTCCTGACAGTTTTGATTTTGTAACATCCAACCTCCTAACTCATGGAAAAAAATGCCTTGGTTTTCACTTGGATTTGACCTTGCTTTGACCTCTAGATTCTCTGCTCTTGTAAGTATTGAATTCAGCCTTAAATCCTGAGTGAATCTTTCTTGCCTTATAGAAAGGCCATTGAAGTGATTAAATAAAAACTAAATGTACACCAATCTTTGGATGTCTATATATTTGCTTTGACTTGTCTGTTGTGGATGTGTGTAAATTAATTGATAATTTGCAGACAAAAAAAAATGACTTGTGTACTAATATTTTCAAAAACAAATGAGGAAAAAATTTTAATATGCTAATAAAGAATGGAAGCCAATCTATATATGAATTTTGTATGAATAATTTAAATCAGAGAAATAAATACTAGTAAATGGCAAAGTCTCTGAAGAACTTAAGGTTCACATTAAGCATGCTTTAGTGACAAACTTTCAGCCTATCTGATCAGAGAATGCCAGAGACTTGGGAGGTGAAGGTGTAATTACATTGAAAAAGCCATACAGTCTCATAGGATTTTATCTACTAACTGGTCTTAGATAAAGCTATTGTTTGAGTCAAGGAGAGGGTTGAAAGAAATTATTAGCAAATGTTTGGTTTCTGCAAATGAGAGGGAAAATGACATTGATTTGCATGCATGCCTGGACATGAACATCAGGTCCCCAGACTGTCATCTTGAAAATCTGGTATGGTTTGCATTTGTGATTTAACAGGGGAGGACACTAGTTAAGGCCTTTAAAGCATGTATGTGCACAGAAGCACATAGCTGCACTGTTGTTCTACGGCTCTAGTGAAAGTAATTTAACTTCTTTGTATGCTCAACTTCAAATTTCATAGCCCCTAACTGCACTTAAAAATTCATTTTTTGAAAATCTAACCCAGACGTTTGTAAAGGAAGAGCCTCTCCATAGTCATCTTCAGTGACCTAAGGGATTCAGATGATCTCGGTAGCAGAATCTAGATTGTACTTTGCCTCATTAACCACATTTTGAAAATCACCAGCCTGCTTTGCCAGGAATTAAGTTACATGATTTAAAATTAACATAAGAGTTTAGCATAATTGAAGTGGGACTGTGATATCTGACTTATGGGATTATAAGAGATAAAGGCATAATTTGCAGCATAAAAGATAACCTCTATTTTTAAAAGTAAATTTTAAAAGGTCAGAGTGTGAGGTTGGGTTGTAACTTTTTTTATATTTTGTAAGAATGCTAAGCAAAGCCAGAAACTGAAGGTCATTTGCTACAATTGGTATAAAATCCCATCTTCACAACTGTGCACAGATGTTTGTTTTATTCAGAAAATTATATTGAACGTATGCAGAAGAGGAATGAAAATACACTCCATAACATTCGGTGCAATTGCATTTACACTAGAGATCAATTGCAGTGTGCAGAGCCTCTTTTAAGGGGCTTCATTACAGTAAATGCTTTTTAGTTATGAATATTTCTTCATCTGAAGATCTCTGAGCACTTCTCTAATGCAGGTCGGTTGTCAGAGCAAGTCAGATGTGCTGTAAAGGCATTAGAGCAAGTCTGTGGGAGGACTGGAGTAGCAGGAGAGTGCTCTCTTGGTTCATGTTTCTCTTCTAAACACCAGACAGACGTGCTTTCCTCCTAAAATTTAAACGTGACTTTTGGAAACTAACGTTCCATATCTGCCTTCCTTCTAAAATGAAATGGTATTAAATAAAACCGAATTGTTTTATTTAATAATAAGGGTTTAAAATAATTAGTAAATTAAATAGCGATAAATTAAATTAAAGTGCATAGGTGTGCATTCTCAAATTCTGATACACTTGTCAACATTAGGCAGCTTCTTTTTTTGGGTAGGATTTGGCTTACAAAGCTCAGACACAGACATTTTACCCATCTCTTCTAAAACTGCTGGTGAACTGTTGCTTGTGAAGTCAGAGGTGTGCAGCCACAGTGCAATCAAACACGACACATACTCTTGAAATGTCCTCTGGTGGAACTCCCCCAGAAGGCCAAATTTATTGGAGCTACTCCTGCCTCAGGCTGTTCTATCTTTGTGATGTGTCATTGGAGATCACCACTTTAATTTTAGATGTAGTTTAAATTTAAATGAAAATTGCAATATGACACTTTGCACTTTGAAAGGAAAATATTTTACTAGAGCTTTGTATTGTATACGCGGGTTATGTATAAAAGTCTTTGTTGTATGTGCCTTCAGGCTAACAATACATCAGATAAGTCTTTTTAACTGTAGTTCTAAAACCAGTTTATCAGCTTTATAACCTCCTGTGATGCCTTCAAAACTAATTCGCTCTCAGAACCTAAAGTCTGAAATCAGACCATAAATTATACTTCATTGGAATTATGGATGCACCTGTCCTGTATCAACCAATTCATATACAGTTCAGAGGGCAGGGCAGGTACATAAAGTACCGGGAGGTGGAACTGTCTGACTTAGCAAAGGACATCTGTTCATATCCCCAGTTGCCTGGGATTGCTTTGCCTTCTGAAATGTGTCCAG